TGGGCATGGTGGCACATGGCTTTAATCTCAGCACTTGGGAAGCAGAGGCTCAAGTTCCAGGACAGCTGGGACTACAGGGAGACCCTGTCTCAAAAAGACCAAAAAATAAAAAATAAATAAATAAAAAGTGTAATGAGAGCCATGCATGGATTGGGAGCTGGAGGACTGTGACCTGACTGACTTGCTGATTTACAGGTATTTGTGTTTGCAAAGAGGCTAAGAGTTTGGGAGCATAACACAAACCCAGTGAAGAGACCTACTGCAATAGTCCAGGCAAATAAAGGAGGTGAGAATAGACATAACAGGATGCAGACTCTCTGGGAATGCTCAATTTTGTTTTGTTGTTTTTGGCTTTTTGTCTTTTTTGAGACAGGGTCTCCCGGTAGCCCCAGCTGGCCTGGAACTCGATATGTAGACTAGGCTGGCCTTGATCTCACAGAGATCCACCTGCCTCTGCCTCCCAAGTGCTGCGATTAAAGCGCTATGTGATTACACCTGATTGAAATATTTTATTTTATGTGTATGAGGGTTAAGTGCACATGTATGTACTACCCCAAGAGCCCAGAATAGAGTGTCGGGTATCCTTAAACTGGAGTTATGAACAGTGGTTAACTGCAATGTAGATGCTGGGAACTGAACCTGGGTCCTCTGAAAAAGCAGCAAGTGCTCTTAACTTCTGAACCATCGCTCCAGCCCCAATTACGGGAATATTTGAGAGTAGAGCTAGCTGTGAGGTTAGATATGGGGTTATAAGAAGCAGTCAGGAATTGAAATGACTATGAGATTTGAGGCAGGTAGAAGTTTCTTGAATGGCCTCAGCTGTTTCTCACTTCCTGAGGCTGTGAGTTGGAACACCTTCCTCCCCACTCCAGCCTGATCACAGCAACCCAAATGTTACCCTCTCTACAAGCTCTTCTTCAAGGGACCCTGGCCCAGTGCAGCCCACCCCTTGTGTACCCAGGCTCCTTGCCCTTCCCCTTCCTTGCGATGGACAGCCAGAGCTACCACCATTCATGCTAAGTGGGCCACTAAGTCATGGAAAGGGTGTGGCCTTAATCAGAGAACAAATTGGTCCACAGAAAATAACCACAAGTTCTTCCCTTTAGCAAACATTTATTGAGCACCTACTGTGTGCCAGACTCTATATTAGGCGCTGTCAATAATATGGGGAACTAGAGTGGATTCTGACTCACATGGGGCTCTAGTGGAGGAAATGTCAGAAACAAGATGGAGAAGGGAAAGATTTAACATGTCAGACGGAGAGGAGAAAGGATTCTGCATGGCTTTTTGTGCCTAGCTTCTTACTCAGTATGATGGTTTCAAGATCCACCCACTTGGGAATACTGCATTTTTCATGGCTAAATAACAGTCCATTGTATAACTAGACTACATCTTGTCTGTCCATTAATTGACTGGCCCCTGGGTTGTTCCCACATTTTTGCTTTTGTTAACAGAGCTGCTGGGAACATTCATGTGCAAGATTTTGGGGTTGATTTGTTTGTTTTAACAGGACTTCATGTAGCTCAGGCTGGCCTTGAACTCCTGAGCCTCCTACCTCTATGTCCTGAGTGCTGGGATTACAGGCATATGCCACTATGATTCACACGTACAAGTCTTGCTTTCTCCTGATACCTGAGTGGAATTGCTAGGTCATGGGGTGACTGCTTAAACCCTTGGGGAACTGCCACCCTGATTCCTCAGGTGGCTTCACAAGCCCCACCACCAGATGTGGGTTATGCTCTCAACAATAGTACTACCCTCAAGCCCTTTTCTCTTTTATCTTGATTACTAGCACCTGGCTGAGATGCTGCCTTCACTCTTGGCACTGGCTCACTCCAGTCCTTCCTTATGCCCCAGGCTGAGGAAGCACTGGACTCAACTCCTGCCCCTCCACAGCTCAACATTCCTCAAAAGCTGAGAAGCCACTCAAATGCCTTGCCCTGGGCTGACCCATCTCATCCCGAAGATGTCACTCACATCTCACCTCTCTGCAGTTTGGACGTGGCTACACAGCCTCCTACTGTCCTCAGTGTCAAGTCTGCCTGCAGGGTGATCCCTGCTCTTTGTCCCGATATCCTCTTACCTCTGTCCTCCCTGCTCATCCTTATAGTCACCTTCCTATAGTCACCTTCCTAGAGATGCCTGCCCTGCTCCTCCCCAGCCCAAATACACCTTCCCTCTTCCCTGCATTGGGCTTTGTTTGAAGTGGCCCTTCTGCTAGTGTGACAGTTGACCTGACGGTTATCTCTCTGGGTCTTGTGAAGGTGTGTGGCTATTAGTGCTTGGCCACTACTGTAGAAATTAAAACAGATATGCTGGGTGTGCAGTTCAGGCTTGCAATGCTGGTACTTGCAAAGCTGAGACAAAAGGATTATTGAGAGGTTGAGGCCAGCCTAAAAAGTGAAACCTTCACTTTTGTCTCAAAAGCCACAAGGATGTGAGGCTGAGCATGGTGGTACATGCCTTTAATCTCAGCACTCGGGAGCTAGAGGCTGGCTAATCTTTGTGTTCCAGGTCAGCTGTGGCTACAGGAAGACCCTGTCTCAAAAAGACCAACCCCCGCCCCAAACCAAAACCAAAACCAAAACCAAAACCAAAACCAAAACCAAAACCAAAACCAAAACCAAAACCAAAAAAACTCATAGGGTTGGAGAGATGGCTCAGCAGTTAAGAGTATATGCTGCTCTTGCAGAGGATCTGAGTTTGGTTCTTAGCACTAGCACCTGTAATCAGACGGCTCACAACTGCCTCTAACTGCAGTTCCAAGGGATCTGATGCCTTCTTCTGGTCTCTGGGGGCACTGCACTCACATGCACATACTCAGACAAAGATACAGACACATGATTTTGAAGAAAAAAAAATTTTTTTTAGAGAGGGTCTCTCTATGTAGCCCTGGCTGACCTGGAACTTGCTATGTAGATCAGGCTGGCCTTGAACTCAACAGAGATATACCTACCTCTGGTCTCCTGAATTCTGGGATTAAATGTATCTACCACCATGCCTGACTTTAAAAAAATTAAACCAATAAAAATAATAAACCCACTTCAAGCTAACATATAAACCTTTTAAAAATAGAAACAGTAGCTATCTTTAAAAGAAACATTTAGTGCACTGAGTATCACTATTTCCAGAAAAATCTCTTGAACAGCTGCTAGGACCTTATAATTGTTTCTGTGTATAGTATGGCTATCACATCTGACAACTTCTGGAAAATTCCACCACACATTCATGGGGAAATGCTAATTTAAAAAAGGTGGGTGACAGCTTTGTTTGCTCTCTCTCTCTCTCTCTCTCTCTCTCTCTCTCTCTCTCTCTCTCTGTGTGTGTGTGTGTGTGTGTGTTTGTGTGTGTGAATGTGTGAGGTATCAGAGATGGAACCCAGAACCCTGACCATACTAAAGCACACTCTACCACTGAGCTGCACCTGTTCTCTCCAAATTTTTTGTTTTGAGTCAATGTCTTGCTAAGTTGCTTGGACTGGCCTTGAATTTGTGGTCCTCCTGCCTCAGCTGGAATAGCTGAGATGATGGACCTGGCCAGGTCCACAGTCTTTCTATTTTATGTGAATGAGTGTATTGCCTGCAGGTAGGTAAGTACACCTGTGTTGTAAAATGCCTGCAGAGGTCAAGAGGGTGTTGGATCCCCTGGAACTGGAGTTACAGACAGTTGTTAGCTGTCATGTGGTTACTGAGAACCAAACCCAGGTCCTCTGCAAGAGCAACCAGTGCTCTTAACTGCTGACCCATCTCTCCAGCCCCTAGGTCCACAGTCTTACATTAATAAAATTGTAATAAAAAATTGGGGGAGCTGGGGAGATTGCTCAGTGGGTAAAGTATTTACTGTACAGGCATGAGGACAGAAGTTCAGATCTCCAGTATCCACATAAAAGCTGGGCAGTTGGGCATAACTGCAGTCAGCATTGGGAGGCAGAGACAAGCAGATCTGGGGTTGACTGGTCAGTCAATCCAGCTGGAACAGCCAGTTGCAGGTTCAGTGAGAGATTCTGAAGACTGAGATGGGGAGTGACCTCTGGCCTCCACAGTTGCTAGCACAGGTGAGTATACCCACACATGTGTGCACATACCCATACACCCACTCCTCTCCCCACAAGTTTTATCATAAAATTGAGGACAAAATATGACCTAATACACAGTTAGGTGTGGCCAACAGGTAAGACCTCAACAACGTCCAAAGGCTGACAACAGCCCCAATGACCCACCCAGACCCAGTGCAGACTCTTAGGGCTGTATTGGAACTGAGGAGCTTCCTAGTCCCAGGGTTTGGGATATGGGGCCTGTCCTCAAGGAAAACCTTGACATCTTTGCAGCGTGAATGAACTCTGCTGGGTCTCCCTTATTCCATTCTATCAAAAAACAAATTAGGCTGGGTATGGTGCCACACGTCTTTAAACCCAGCACTCAGGGGGCAGAGGCAGGAGGATCTCTGTGAGTCTGAGGCCAGCCTGGTCTATATAGTGAGTCCCAGGCCAGCCAGAGCCATGTACATTTTTTGAGACCCTGTCTCAAAACAAAACCAATGAAACAAAATTATTCCTAGCATCACATCTGTAATCCCAGTACTCGGGAGGCTGAGACAGGAGGATTGCTGCAAGTTCAAGGCCAGCCTGGGCTACTAAGGGAGTTTAGGGTCAGTCTGGATACTTAATAAGACCCTGTCTCAACGAAACAACACAAATCTATACAAAACTCTGGAGGCTACTGTAGTTTGGTGTCACAGCCCAGCTCTTCCTGGCAGTCCTGGCTCTGGCACAGAGGCTGGCTAATCACATTGATAATTACTAGGTTAACATTGCTGAGTGAACCTATGAACAAACAGCAAGCTACCAACTTTATGCATGCCGATTCTGCTCACAGGCTTATCCCAGCAGGAGTGCAACCTGAGAGGCCCCATTGACCAACCAGGACTGCATTTCCCAGAAGCCTCCTCACTGGACTACATCTCCCATTAACAGGTCTTCCTCCAGGATTTGCGCTCTTCCTGCCAGGGGGTAGCTTTACGTCCTCACTCGCCCTTCGCCCCTAACTCCTTCGTGCACCTTGCAGCCCCTTCACCCTAGGATGATCCTGCCGCAGTTTCTCCAGTGAGCCCCTCGCGAGGCCTCCCCTCCTCCTCCAGGCGCCCCAGTGAGCAGGGCTGCGCGCGCAGCTCCTGTCCAGCCTCAGTGAGGGGACGCTTCGCAGGTACTCCCCGACCATGGAGACTTCGGCGCCGAGGGCGGGAGTCCGCGCTTCCGGGTGTGTCTGCAGCTCGGGGTGCAGACGGGTGGGGTGGGACCCCGATTCGGCAGCCTGGCACGTGACGTATGTGTATGTCTTGTCTGGTGTGTCGGTGTCCCTCACGACCGAGTTCCAGTCCCAGCTCTGCCAATTCCCTGCTGTGTGCCATGGGGCAGGTGACTACCCCTCTCTGTGCCTCAGTTTCCTCACCTGTATATTGGGCATGATAAAAGCACCTGTCTTGGGGGCTGCTGTAAGGATTGAAAGATAATACTGTAGAGCTCTGAGAACGCCTAGCGTAAAGTAAATCCTGCTAAGAATAAATAAACGAAATAAACTACGCTTATGCATCTTTTGTGCCCGTGTGTGTTGGTGTATGTGATGTGAGCCTGCAGTGGGGTAAGGAGTCCTCCTAACCACGCTCTGAAATGGGTGTCCATTTCTGCTGCCTACTTCGGTACTTGGTGTGTCTTTGTGTTTGATATGTGTGCCTGTGTATTTGTGTGTAATAAGTGTGACTGAACATTTGCTTGGGCATGTTTGTATCTGTACGTTGTGTTTGTGTTTTTTGCTTGAGCTGTGTGGCTTTGCATGTATGAGCCGTGTGTTCCCGTGTGCAGTGTATCTGTGTATGTGCATGTGAGTCCCTGGGGGTGAAGTGTGGGTGAACATTGTGCATATCCAGAGCTTGTATGCATGAATGTGTTTCTGTATGTTCATGTATGTTACCAGGCTGTGTCTGTGTGTGCATGTGACTGTCGTGTGTATTCCTGTGATGCTTGTGTCTTCGTGTTTGAGCTAGTGATGTCTGTGCGTGGTGCCTATGTCTGTGGGGTTCTTTGTTGCCTGTGTGTTTGTGGAATGCCAGTTTGTGATAGAATGTCTCAGCATGTCCCCATGGGGTGGATCTTTGTGGTGCCTGTTTGTGTTTGGGGTTGCCTGTGGTGTGTGTCTTTGTGATGCTTGGATGTTCCTGTGTGGGTAAGGACATCTGTACTGGCCAGGGGCTGGCCTGCCTGTGCATTCCCAATGCAATCTGTCCCTGGGTCTTTGTGTGTGACGTGTCCGTGTCTCCGTCTGTTGATGGCTGTCCACCTTTGTACGTGATGTGCTTGTCTGTGAGGGTTCCTGTAACATGTATCAGCTGTGTGGGCTTGACATCTGCATCTTAGTCTGTAGCACACATGGCACCAGTGGCATGTCACAGTCGTGTCAGGGTCAGGCACTGTGGACCTTGTCCTATCCCCCTCCCAAGGGTCTGGCTGGTCCCTGTTCGTCCCTCTTCCTTCTTCCCTTTCTCCCCTCCCTCCTGGCAGCCAATGCAACCGGGAGCCAGTTGCCATGACAACGCTCTATCCTCCCTCCTCCCACCTTTCCTCTGACAGGCTCTCTGCTCCCCCAATCCCGGCTGTCCTCGGGGGCGGGGCCCTCGTTCTCTGCCCCCCCAATTCTCCCCTCCCCCTACCCCAGCAACCCCGGCTCCCCAGCTCCTCTCCTCCGTCCGCCTCTCCATCCATCCGTCTGTCCCTTCGAGGAGGGGGAGGGGGGCACCTGAGCCAGTAAGCAGCCCCTCCCTCCCCCTGTCCTGCATCTCCTGCCCCTCTCCTGGGCTGGGGGAGGCCAGGGTCTCGCGGGTCCCCATGGCTGGGGGCTGAGGGCCCGCCCCCCCCTCCTCCCCAGCCGCCGCCACCGCCACCTCCCTTCCATCCTGGACAAGATGCCTGCGCCCGGCGCACTCATCCTCCTGGCGGCTGTCTCCGCCTCCGGCTGCCTGGCGTCCCCAACGCACCCCGGTGAGTGTGTCCGGCCGTCCGTGGCCGGTGCCCCACCCCCACCGAGGCCGCCCCGCACCTGTGCGCAGCCCGTGGGGACAAGCCTGTCCGCAAGACCCAGGAGGCGGGCCAGGGCGGGTGGGCAGGGGGCAGCGGGCCGCGTGCGTGTGTATGAACGTGCATGTAAGCCCATGTGCACCGGGGTGCAAACGGGTGCGCGAGGAACGGGAAGGCCGCGGCCTCGGGGAGAGTCAGGCCAGGGGGTACCCCGTTTTTAAGGGGGACATAGCTCTGGCTTTGCAGAGTCCTCTCCAGAGCTGGGGCTGGGGCCAAAGACAACTCTGTATTTCCAGTACCCTTAAAAGAGACAGCTCTCAGATATCCTTTAGGGGTGGGGTGGGCAGGGGTTCCGCATGGGGCAAGAATCTTCCAGCAGCCTGCAATTGGGAGGTCATGAGGCTGTCCATAGTGGCATATTATGAATTCACAGAGCTGAGACCTCGCTTTTTTGCTCGTCACTGGAATTCATCCAAGCCCGAGGTGAAGGGATGCGTTTGTGGGGGGTCCCAGTTTGGGAAAAGATGAGGGACCCCACCCCCAACCACCTAAGAAGGCCGTAAACTACAACTCCCACAATACATTGGGCCACCTGGCTCCTCTGCCAAGGGGCCCCTGGATGTGGAGCATCATGGGAGTTGTAGTTCAAGACTGGCCCAGGATGGGAGGGGCATGGAGTCCAGCAGCCAGTGGCTTGAAACTCAGACCCCAGACCCCAGCCCAGTCTTGTGCCCACAGATGGATTCGCTCTGGGCCGAGCTCCTCTGGCTCCGCCCTATGCCGTGGTCCTCATTTCCTGCTCCGGCCTACTGGCCTTCATCTTCCTCCTCCTCACCTGTCTGTGTTGCAAACGGGGTGATGTCCGGTTCAAGGTGAGGTGCCCAAAGGGATGAACCTGGGGAGGAAGACCCCAGCCAGGCCTTTCCTTCCAGTCAGAAAAGGCGCTGGTGGGGGAAGGCCAGAAAGTCCCAGCTCTGGGGCTTTGGGATCTGCACACCAGCCAAAACAGGCCTGGGATTTTGGGGGACAGATCTGTAAACTGTGGGGAGGCACCTAGGACAGGATGCTGGAGTCTCAGTCGATCTCCCACTCTCCACCCCGGTGCTCCCATTCATCGCCTCTCCCATCCCAGGAGTTTGAGAACCCTGAAGGGGAGGACTGCTCTGGGGAGTACACTCCCCCTGCCGAGGAAACCTCCTCCTCACAGTCGCTGCCTGATGTCTACATTCTGCCGCTGGCTGAGGTCTCACTGCCAATGCCTGCCCCACAACCTGCACATTCAGGTACCCCCTCCCCCCCAGCTCCAGAATCCCACAGTTTCAACACTGAGGACTTCCCTTCATGGCTCAGGGAGGGCAGAGTGGGGAGCCCTAGATTCTTGGAAGTAGCTTATAGGGAGGCCAGACACATCCTCTTGCAGAAAGCCACAAATTTGGAGAGTCTTGCAGGGTGGCTGTGGTGCTATCAGCCTAGATCTCAACTTTGGAGCCAGCCAGTGGCAGACTGGTCAAGTCATGGGGCGCTGGGGTTACCTAAGGAAGAACTGATTGGACTCTGGGATCTCATGGGCAGCCAATGAGGAGGCTGAGACCCTGCCAAGGAATGTTGGAAGCAGCCAATAAAGAGATTGCTGTGTGCTATGACCCTCTGCCCTACCAAGGTGGTGGAGGGCATCTTGGAGGGGAGAGGGGCTCAGGGCCTCCCCTCCCACCCCTTCTCAGACATCACGACCCCACTGGGCCTGAGCCGCCAGCACCTCAGCTACCTGCAGGAGATTGGCAGCGGCTGGTTTGGGAAGGTGAGGGACTTGGGTAGGAGGTGTCGGGGGAGTGGTCCAGACATGCCTGGCCTGTGCTCCTGTTCTGTGTCTTCCCCCATTTGTCATTTGCCCCTGGCCTCCCCAGTCGCCTACGCCCCTCAGCCTGACCTTCTCCCTCCACCTCTCACCCACTCCCACCCACCCACACATCTGTCGGTCAGTGCCTCCCTCCTCACTCCATTGACCACTCCGCCTCACCACCCGGCTCTCCACGCGTCCGTCCGTCTGTCCATCCTTTCATCCGTCCCCACGTGCATCGGACTCTGGGCCAGTGAGTCTCTCATCCCATGTCTGGTGGGGAACCAGGGAGGTGGGACATGAAGGGAATACCTGGAAGGTGGTTGGGAGTGTGAGGTGCAGGGAGCTGCCCTGGGGATGGACTGGCCCATGTGGGCACTGACCACAGTGCCCCTTGACCAGGTGATCCTGGGGGAGGTTTTCTCAGACTACACACCAGCCCAAGTGGTGGTAAAGGAGCTTCGGGCCAGTGCTGGGCCCCTGGAGCAGCGCAAGTTCATCTCCGAGGCTCAGCCCTACAGGTATCTTGGTGGACAGGGGTTCTAGAAGCCCAACACTAGGTTGGCACCAGGAAGTAATGTTTGGGAGTGGAGGGAACCTAGAGTGGCATCAAAATTGGCTTCCATTCTCAGATTTCCTGGCTCTGCAGCTCTGGTGCAGTTTCCTTCCCTGTGCCTCCAGGAGACAACACAGGGGTGAGGGGGTCCTCTCCACTTTGGACCTCAGTATCTTTATCATAGCAAGAATCACTGGCCACAGCCCTGAACAGACACCCAAGCTAGCCCTGAAGACCTCTGTCCCACCTCCCTTCCCCTGCTAAGCTGTGAGAAAGAACTGGGCCTGCCCTGCTTGGTCTCTCCGCTCCACTCTAACATATTGCCATTGTAATTGTGCTTTGGAGGTAGTGAGCTCCCCATCCTAAATCCTATAGAGATCCTATAGAGATCTCTTATCAGAACATCTACAAAAGAGACACTAACCCTAACCAACACAGACATTAGACTCTGGCAAGCCTGTGCTCCAAGACCTCCTATGACTCACTCCCCAGTGCCCACAGGGCAAGCCCACTGTTCCCTATAGCCCACAGGCCCTACACAATCTGACCCTGTAACCTTCTGATCATTTGCCCTAGTTCCCCCAACCACTGTCTCACATAGCAGCCACTTTCCTGCCTCTAGTGTTGAACTTGGGGTTCCCTTTGAGTTGATCTCAACTCAAAGAGACCTGCCCTTACCCCCAGCCCCAGGTAAGGAGGGCTTTGCACCAGGCATGGTGATATATACCTGTAATCCCAGTACGTCCAGGTGGGAGGATCATAGGCTTGAGGCCAGCCTGGACTACAGAATGAGACTCTGTCACAAAAAGTAGGAGCAAGTGGCTTGTCATTATTTTATCTGGCTATTAATTATACGCTTATTGCCTGTTTTTCTCTATACTGGGACTGGCAACCAGTAACCATATGTGGTTATTTAAATTTAAGCTAAATAAAAAAAAATCAAATTAGAAACTCATTAAGCCAGGTGTGGTGGCTCACACCCGCAATTCCAGCACTTCAGATGCTGAGGCAAGAGAATTGCCATGAGTTTGAGGCCAGCCTGGGCTACAAATAAACACATTTGAATACTGATTTTCTGAGCAACACTTGCCACACTTCAGGTGCTCCATTGACCCATGTGACCAGCAGCCCATGTTAGAAATCTGTTGAACAGTACAGTACAGGGTTTCACTGGCAGTTCAGGATCCTTCCTGTCCCCAAGCACAAGTGCCACAAGAACTGTCAGCCTTCAGTAGATGTTTGCTGACCAAGCCATAGACCCGAGCTCAAATCCCAGCTGTGTGACCCTGGGCAACTTGATTTACTTCTGTGAGCCTCTATTCCACCCAGGTCTTCATCCTGCCCCACAGAGTTGTGGTGAATCCCAGGCTCTCTCTCCCCATTGTCCTTGGCCCCCAGTGCCCAACTGGTCCTTGGCATCTACTAGGCCTTGTTAGGGAAAGAACTGCCCTGTACCTGCTTCACATAGCCTGAAGTGTCAAAAGGAGACAAGCCATGAAGAAGTGAGGGATCTGTGACAGGGACAGGATCTGCTTTAGATCATTAGGGAGGCTGGGTTCTGTAGGACAGCCAAGACTTGCAAAGCAGCTTGGGAATTAAGTTCCAGGTAGAGGGAATGACCAGTATGAGAATTGGGAGACGGGGATAAGCTCCTAGATTCTGTCACAGAGAGCAACCCTGCAGCACAGCAGGCATGGAGGGTGAAAATAAAAGCAAGCAAAATGTTAGAATAAAAGTAACAGTCATTGGCCAGGTGTGGTGGCGCACACCTTTAATCCCAGCACGAGGCAGGCAGATCTCTGTGAGTTCAAGGCCAGCCTGGTCTACGTGGTGAGTTCCAGAACAGCTGGGGCTACAGGGAGACCCTGTCTCAAAAAGATCAAAATAAAAAAAAAGTAAGAGTCATAGTGGCCAGACCTGGTGGTACACGCCTGTCAGACAAGACAACCCAGCATGTGGAAGCCTGAGGCAGGAGGATTATGAGTTCCAGGCCAGCCTGGGCTGTTAAGTGAAACCTTGTCTTAAATACACACACAAACTAAATACACACACACACACACACACACACACACACACACACACACACACACACACACACACATAAACCGCAGGATCCCTCACTATGACGGACCTTTCACAGAGCACTCTCCATAGCCTTATGTGGAGTTCCTACAACTTCCCCCATTTACAGAGGAGACAATCAAAGGCAGAGGAGTCAGAATGTTTTGTGGGAGGGTTGGGGTCAGCATTAGAACCCAGTGTCAGGGTGAACAAAAGGGTAATGAAGCCTTCCAGGAGAGTTGGAGCTGAGGCCTGAGGTGTGACTAAGACAGGTGTTCTGGTTTGTTCTTCATTGCTATGACAAAACACTCTGACCACTACCAACTTGGGGAGGAAAGGGTTTATTTAGCTTACAACTCCTAGGTTGCAGTTCATCAGGGAGCCCAAGGTAAGAACTGAGAGCAGGAACCTGGAAGCAAGAACTGGAGCACAGGCCATGGAGGAACGCTGCTTACTGGCTTGTTCCCCTGGCCCCCGGTCCGCCTGCTCTCTTATCCAAAAAAGGGCACTACCCACAGGGGGCGCGGGCCGTCCACATCACTCAGCAATCAAGAAGATGCTCCACAGACATGGCCACAGGCCAGTCCAATGGAGTCAATTCCCCAATTGAGGCTCCCTCAACCCAGGTGTGTCAAGTTGACACTAAAGCTATCCAGCACAACAGGGAAGAGAGGATAGCTTCATAGAGGCGGGTTATAAATATAAAGGCCCAGAATCTGGTAAAGCAGAACCTGGCTAGTGAGCAGCAGGGACATCAGTCAGCAAGGGTCTCATGGGGACACTGGGGAGCCACTGAAGGTTGTGAACATGCAGGTGACAGGTCAGGGCCAAGCTGAAGGGGAGGCGGGGCACCAGGGTCTAGTTGGAAAGCTTGGGAAGGGGTGTGGTGAATCAGAGGCTCTGTGGGATGGAAACAGGATGTTCCTTTTCTTTCCCCCAAAGGAGCCTGCAGCACCCCAATGTCCTCCAGTGCCTGGGTGTCTGTGTGGAGACGCTACCTTTCCTATTGATCATGGAGTTCTGTCAGCTGGTGAGGAGGAACACGGGCAAAAGGGACTGTTGGGGGCGGAGGGGTAGAGGAAAGCCAAGACTCTGCTGGCATCATCACCTGTGTACCTGAACTAGCATTCCCTCTTTCTTTCTGATGCTGGGGATCAAACCCAGGGCATCATGCATGAGCAGCACTTGGCTGAGCTAAACACTTCAGGCCTGTACTAATAAGCCAGTAAAGAAACAGGAAAAACTGAGGATAGGATGGGCTGCCCACTGTGGGGCAGACACTGCCCTGTGCTTGCTTCAGATTCAGAGGTGGTCAGGGGCTGGTGTGCTGACCAGTCCTTGCTTCCTTCCCAGGGGGACTTGAAGCGATACCTCCGGGCCCAGCGGCCCCCTGAGGGCATGTCCCCTGAACTACCACCTCGAGACCTACGGACACTGCAGAGGATGGGCCTGGAAATTGCTCGGGGGCTGGCACACCTGCACTCCCACAACTATGTACACAGGTGAGTTATGTGGAGCCACAGCAAGTGGACACAGGGAAGAGCTGAGGAAGGGAGTTGTCAGGAGTACATAGAAAGGGAGGAGCCAGGCGTGGTGGTGCTCGCCTTTAATCCCAGCAGAGGCAGGCTGATCTCTGTGAGCTCAAGGCCAGCCTGGTCTACATAGTGAGTTCCAGGACAGCTGGGGCTACAGGGAGACCCTGTCTCAAAAAGACCAAAAAAAAAAAAAAAAAAAAAAAGAGGGGGGGAGAGACAAAAGATGGGGGGGGCAAAACAAGAACAAAAAGGGGGCGCAGGGGGGGAGAGGAGAGGCACAGAGAGAGGGGGGAATGTTGGAGGGGAGGGAGTGGGCATGGATTTGATCAAAACACCTTACCTTATATGCATATATGAAATTCTCAGTGAAGTTTCTGTAAAAACCAAAAAAAAAAAAAAAAAAAGAAAGAAGGGAGGAGAGAATGAAAAGCTGGGGAGTCACAGAAGACAGGAAAGGAGGAGCCAGGAGAGGAAGGGGAAGAGCAAAGAGCAGAGAGGGAGGAGTTAGAGGAGAAGGTGGGGCTAAGGAGCCAGGAGAGGAGGAGCCAGGATAGAAAGACTGTGCCAGGAAAGGAAGGAGAGCCACTCTGGGAGGAGCAGGTGTCAGGAGGGAGGGAAGAGCCAGAAGAGGAGGTGGAACCTGGGGAGGAGGGAAAGTAGTCAGGAGAGAAGACAGAGCCAGTGTAAGAGGGGTGGGTGATTAGAGGAGGGGAGGGGCCATCACCCTGTGGGCAGGGCTTCCTTCTCATCCCAATCTGTCCCATGTGCACCCAACCCCCCATCTCCAGTGATCTGGCACTTCGCAACTGCCTCCTAACCTCTGACCTGACAGTGCGCATCGGCGACTATGGGCTGGCCCACAGCAACTATAAGGTGGGTGTATGTGCGTGTGCGTGTGTGTGTGCATCTATGCATGTCACCTGCTGACCTGCTGACCCCATCAACCCCAGGAGGACTACTACCTGACACCTGAGCGTCTGTGGGTGCCACTTCGCTGGGCAGCACCTGAGTTGCTGGGTGAGCTGCACGGAAGCTTTGTGCTAGTGGATCAGAGCCGCGAGAGCAATGTCTGGTGAGGCTATGGGCACTAGAGGCGTCGGGGGCAGATGAGACGAGTCTGAACTGGACAAGGGGGGGACACGACGACGACAAGATGACATGGACAGACAGGGGATGAGCCACTGCTGCCCTCTGACATGTGCCCTCTGTTGCAGGTCGCTGGGGGTGACCCTCTGGGAACTGTTTGAATTCGGGGCACAGCCCTACCGTCACTTATCTGATGAAGAGGTCCTTGCCTTCGTTGTCCGCCAGCAGCACGTCAAGCTGGCCCGGCCCAGGCTCAAATTGCCTTATGCCGACTACTGGTGAGGCAGCAGATCCTGGAGTATATTCCAACCCCAGGCTCAAACTTCCTAGCCCTGTCACTGATCTTCCCAGCCACCGTAGGAGTGGACAGGGGAACTCACCATTACCTGCTACCTGGAGTGGGGAAACTGAGGCAGGGAATGGCAAATGGGAACTGTGTCCTACACATCCTCACCTAGCATCAGAGTTCCTCCTCCATACCTCTGTCATACCTCTGTCATCTTTTTCTGGGTCTTTGTGTGTCCCTCCCTACCTTGACCCCTGTTCCTACCTCTGGGTCTCTCCTTTTCTGTCTCTGGCTCTGTCCTCCTCACCATCACCTCCCCGTCCCCCAGGTATGACATCCTTCAGTCTTGCTGGAGACCACCAGCCCAGCGCCCCTCCGCATCTGACCTGCAGTTGCAGCTTACTTATCTGCTGTCTGAGCGGCCCCCAAGACCCCCTCCTCCGCCACCCCCTCCCCGAGATGGGCCTTTCCCCTGGCCCTGGCCGCCCTCGCACAGCGCACCGCGCCCTGGTACCCTGTCCTCACAGTTCCCCCTTCTGGATGGCTTCCCTGGGGCTGACCCTGATGATGTGCTCACTGTCACCGAGAGCAGCCGTGGCCTCAACCTCGAGTGCCTGTGGGAGAAGGCGCGACGTGGGGCCGGCCGCGGTGGGGGAGCGCCTCCCTGGCAGCCGGCGTCTGCGCCCCCTGCGCCCCATGCCAACCCGTCCAACCCCTTTTACGAGGCACTGTCCACGCCCAGCGTGCTGCCAGTCATCAGCGCACGCAGCCCCTCGGTGAGCAGCGAGTACTATATCCGGTTGGAGGAGCACGGCTCCCCACCAGAGCCCCTCTTCCCCAACGACTGGGACCCGCTGGACCCAGGCGTGCCTGGCCCCCAGGCCCCCCAGGCCCCTTCCGAGGTTCCCCAGCTGGTGTCCGAGACCTGGGCTTCCCCCCTCTTCCCGGCAACCCGGCCCTTCCCAGCCCAGTCCTCTGGATCAGGTGGCTTCCTGCTAAGCGGCTGGGACCCCGAGGGCCGGGGAGCCGGGGAGACCTTGGCAGGGGATCCTGCCGAGGTGCTGGGGGAACGAGGGGCCGCACCTTGGGCAGAGGAGGAGGAGGAGGAGAGCTCCCCCGGCGAAGACAGCAGCAGTCTTGGCGGGGGGCCCAGCCGCCGGGGACCCCTGCCCTGTCCCTTGTGCAGCCGCGAAGGTCCCTGCTCCTGCCTGCCGTTGGAGCGGGGAGAGGCGGTGGCCGACTGGGGGGGTCACCCTGCCCTTGGCTGTCCCCACCCCCCAGAGGACGATTCTTCCCTGCGGGCAGAACGGGGCTCCCTGGCCGACCTGCCACTGGTTCCCCCTACCTCGGCCCCTCCCGAGTTTCTGGACCCCCTCATGGGGGCCGCAGCGCCCCAGTACCCCGGGCGGGGGCCACCTCCCGCTCCCCCACCTCCGCCGCCGCCTCCCCGGGCCCCCGCGGAACCGGCCGCGTCCCCCGACCCCCCGTCGGCCCTGGCCAGTCCAGGCTCCGGCCTCTCGTCTCCGGGCCCCAAACCCGGGGACAGCGGATACGAGACCGAGACCCCTTTTTCCCCCGAGGGAGCCTTCCCAGGTGGGGGGGCAGCCGAGGAGGAAGGGGTCCCTCGGCCGCGTGCTCCCCCCGAGCCACCCGACCCAGGAGCGCCCCGACCACCCCCAGACCCGGGTCCCCTCCGGCTCCCGGGGACCCGGGAGAAGGCGACCTTCGTAGTTCAAGTGAGCACCGAGCAGCTGCTGATGTCTCTTCGGGAGGGTGTGACAAGGAACCTCCTAGGGGACAAGGGGTCGACACACCGGGAGACAGGACCCAGGAAAGCGGGGAGAAGCCCCGGGAACAGAGAGAAGGACCCAGACCCGAACAGGGACCTGACAGCCCTGGGTGGCGGGATGAAAGCCCCCAACCGGAGCCTCCCTGTGAACGGGGTGACAGTGTTGGAGAACGGGGAGCAGAAAGCCCCAGTCATCGAAGGGAAGGTGGCGGAGAATGGGGGTCTGGAATCCCCCGAGAGAGGCGAGAGAGCCCTGGCGAATGGGGAGCCGATGTCCCCAGAGGCCGGGGAGAAGACGGTGGCGAATGGGGTTCTGATGTCCCCAAAGAGGGAGGAGAAGGTGGCAGAGAATGGGGGCCCGACGTTCCCCAGGAACACGGAGAGGCCGCCAGAGACTGGACCTCGGATAGCCCTAGGGCCCTGGGAGAAGACACCCGAGACTGGGGGTCCAGCCCCCGAGACCCAGCTGGAGAGAGCCCCTGCACCCGACCAGGCACCCTTGCCCCAGAACGGCTTGGAGATGGACCCTGGCCCACTTGGCCCAGGCCTCAAGAGCGGGAACCCGGAACCCGGGACCGAGTGGAAAGCCCACGAGACTGGGGAGGTGCTGAGAGCCCCCGGGGCTGGGAGGCTGGACCTCGGGAGTGGGGGCCGAGCCCCGGAGGGCGTGGGGACGGCCCCCGCCGGCGGCCCCGCAAGCGACGTGGACGCAAAGGCCGGATGGGTAGACAGCACGAGGCCGCTGCCGCCCCCTCCTCAGCCACTGGGGACCCAGCAGAGGAGGCTGGAGCCTGCGCCCCCGAGAGCCAGGCTGGAAGTGGCCCTCGCGGGAGAGTCCGGGGTCCCAGACAACAGGCCCGGCGGAGACACGGCCCCCAGCGGAGGCGAGGACCCCCCCAAGCCGGAGAGGAAGGGCCCAGAGATGCCACGACTGTTCTTGGACTTGGGACCCCCTCAGGGGAACAGCGAGCAGATCAAAGGTGAGGAGGCAGCCAGGTGTGGGCACTGAGGTCGGGATCGAAAGTATGACAGGCTGGCACGGTGAATCACCATCTAGGAGTCTTTGTACATGGGCCCGGGTACAAGGTGTCCCTATCTGCAGCCTTGAAAATATTCCTACTACTTTGAGCTTCAGTTTCCCTATCTTTCAAGAATGGCTGCTAGGGAAGACCCCTACCTGGCAAGGTGGCTGTGAGGAGCAGGTGGGGTCAATGCCACCTTTGGGGCCTGTGATATGGTGCCGATTTGCCTTTGTTATTACAGCCTGTCTAGAGGGGATCTGAAAGTTAGCCAGGGGGCCAAGTGGGGAGAAGCCAGGTCTAGGGGCAGCCATGTCCCAGAAAGGCCATGGATGTTGTCACATCTGCACTTTTCCTTGTTATACCAGCATTCTGTGTGAGTGGTTGTACCCAGCTCAAAGGAGGTCTGGTGCAGGTGGTCAGGGCCACAGCTGCTGTGTGAGGTCTCCAATCAGCTGGGGGTAACTGGGGGTGGTGCCACATGCCTATATTACAAGTACTTGGGAAACTGAAGCAAAAGGACTGCTGTGAGTTTCAGGCTAGCCTAGGCTACACAGTGAGTTCCAGGCCAGCCAGAGTTAACATAGTAGAACCCTGTCTCAGAAAAACAGAGGGACTGCAGTGATAGCTCAGTCTGTAAAGTGCCCTTTGGGGCTCAGCCCCCACTCCTGAGGTCCAGCCTCCCAGGGGTTCTCAGCACCCCTCAGGCCCCGAGTCTTGCAAGTGTGAGAAACTGAGTTGATCTCCTGATTCCACATATAAAAGTGAGGCATGGTGGTGTACTTGTAATCCCAGTGCTGGGGAGGTGGAGACAGGAGATCCTTGGAGGCTGTCCAGTCGGTCTAACCTAATTGGTAACCTCAAGGCAGTGAGAGACTGTCTCAAAGAAGGTAGGTGTTGTTCCTGAGGGTGACACCTGAGTTGTCCTATCCTACACACACACTACACACACACAGTTTTTTAAAAGGTGGTCCAGTGAAATGGCTCAGCAGATAAAGGCACTTATTTTTTTTTAAATTTATTTATTTTTTTGTCTTTTTGAGACAGGGTCTTCCTGTAGCCCCAGCTGTACTAGAACCACTATGTAGACCAGGCTGGCCTTGAACTCCGAGAGATCCGCTTGCCTCTGCCTCCTGAGTGCTGGGATTAAAAGTGTGCGCCACCATGCTCGGCTGTAATGGCACTTCTTATCAAACCTGATGCCCACATGGTGGAAGGAGAGAACTGAGTCCCACAAGTTGTTTGATGACCTCCACACACAAGCTGTGGCACATGGGTGCCCACACACATATATACACACACGCACACACATAAATAAGCATAAGGTCAGGTGTGGTGATGCACATCTTTAATCTCAGCATTTGAAAGGCAGAGGCAGGTAGATCACTGAGTTTGGTTCCAGGCTAGCTTGGGTTACACAGTGAGACTCTGTCCTAAAACAAAGCAAAGCAAAACAAAACAAAACAGTAGGTGCAATTTAAAAAATTTAAATCTGCCAGGCATGGTGGTGCTCACCTTTAATCCCAGTACTCAGGAGACAGATCTCTGAATTCCAGGCCAGCTGGATAAGCCACACAGGACCACCTCACCAGGCATGGTGCCCACCCAAGTTCCTGAAACACTGTGACATAATACCACACTGTTCCTGTTCTACACTTGAAACCCCCAGCCATGAGTTTAGAAAGACACTGGATGGCATGACACTACTGGGTGGCAAGCAGCTAAAATGCCTCAGAGGATCTCGGTTGTTTCAGGGCTGCTGAGTTAGACTGGGAGTGGCTTACTTTTTTTCACCCAGTGAATTCATACTATCCTTTAAGATCCCACACAAATTTCCCCTTCCCTAGAAAGCCTTCCTGGTTGCTAAAGGCTATCTATCTTCCTGTCCTTATTCTAGAGACCCTCTGCTCTTGACAGCACTGTGTCTGTAGCACCCTCCTAACCCTAATTATCCTGAAAAGGTACCTTTTGAGCAAAAGGGCAGGTAGGAGCTGAGTGGATGTCTGGGAGAAGGATAGAGGCAGGTACTAGGTTGGCACATTTAGAGAGCAGCAACAGGTCAGTAAAAACTAGTGTGAACTGAGTGCAGGAGGGTGCCCCCCCTTCTCCCTGCCCTGCTCTTCCTCTGTTTCCTACTGTCACCTCCCACAGTGTTCCACAGATGGGTCACTTATGCTGGAAGGTGTGGCCCTGTTCATCTGGTAGGGAGGAATACAGGTCTAGGTGGTGGATCTGCTTCCCCAAGGACACACAGAGGTAGGATAGGATTGGATGGAAAGTGCCCTGGGAGACCCATGGGGCAGAAGAGAGGCTAAGAGATGACAGCAAGGGCCAGGAAGGGGAAGAACCTCCTTGGTGGGGAACTTTGGTTCATGGCTAGTCTGTATTTGTGTGTGCACAAGCCTATGGTGGAGGCTGGTGAACCCAGGTCTGTTCTGTGGCCTGGCACCCTTACCAGGCTCTCATGGTACAGAGCTGAGTTACTGTGCTCAGAAGAAGGGGTGGAGTATGTGGCCATAACTGGTGTGCCTGGCTCCTAGAGGTGGCCCAGGCCTGGGAGCCCCAGCGCTGAAGAAGGGGCAGGACTCAGTTCCAGGCTGAGGGAACAGGCTATGCAAAGTCTGAGAGGGGGCAAGAATAGAGAGGCCAGAGCCAGGTGGGGACAGACTGGAGAGGGCAGCTGGGCCAGGGTGCTCCACCAGATGGGCTGTGGGAGAAGACTTCTAATGTTTGGGGTACTGGGGGGCCCGGAGACCTCGCACTGTAGTGGGGAAGAGTCTCTCTCACTCTCCATGCGGAAAGGGACGCCCCACACACCCGGAGCCCTCCGGCAGGCAGCTGAGGGAAGGGCCTGCCTCACTTTCCTAGGCAGGAGCTTACCCATCTCTCCCCTCGCAGCCAAGCTCTCGCGGCTCTCGCTGGCGCTTCCGCCGCTCACGCTCACGCCGTTCCCGGGGCCGGGCCCGCGGCGGCCCCCGTGGGAGGGCGCGGACGCCGGGGCAGCTGGCGGGGAGGCCGGCGGGGCGGGGTCGCCGGGGCCGGCGGAGGAGGACGGGGAGGACGAGGACGAGGACGAGGAGGAGGAGGACGAGGAGGCAGCGGGCCCACGGGGCCCCGGGAGGACGCGGGCAGCCCCAGTGCCCGTCGTGGTGAGCAGCGCCGACGCGGACGCGGCCCGCCCGCTACGGGGCCTGCTCAAGTCTCCACGCGCGGCCGACGAGCCCGAGGACACCGAGCTGGAGAGGAAGCGCAAAATGGTCTCCTTCCACGGGGACGTGACCGTCTACCTCTTCGACCAGGTGAGTTGGTGCTCAGGACCGCGAAGACCCGGACTGCAGCGGGTTGGAACTTCTGTGGGCGTGGCCAGGAGGGTGGAGCCTGGAGTGGGCGAGGGCGTCTGCTGATAGCTGGCCCTGGAGGGAGGCTGACCTCGAAGAGGTGCCCAGTGAGTGGGTGGAGCCCGGAGGGTAGTAGAGGCGTGGGTGGGTGTGGCCTGGAGTGTGGGTGGGTGTGCGGGGTCTAGAGCTGGAGGCGGGCCCGAGGGTCAGCGGGGAGGAGCCTGTGATGAGTAGAGGCCAAGTACACCGGTGGAGACTTGAGGCGTGAAGGCGGGTCTGGAAGTCAGTTTGCATCCTGGAGAGGCCAGGGGAAAAGTACTGGGAACGAGCCTCGTACTTTGGGATGGGGTTTGCCAACCAGAACTTTAGTGGCTGTGAAGGCTGTGGGGTTGGCTCTAATTTAAATTTTTATTTGTTTTTTGAGACAGGGATTCCCAGCTGGCCGGGAACTCGCTGTGTAGACCAGGCTGGCCTCGATCTCAAAGAGATCTGCCTGCTTCTGCCTCCAGAGAGTAACGGCGTGCACCACCACGCCCGGCTAATTTTATTTATTTTTTAATTATGTGTATGTGTGTCTGTGCGTGGGTATGTGCACTTGAGTGCGGCTGCCCACGGAGGCAAGAAGCGTAGGAAGCAGTGCATACTCTTAATTAGCTTCTGAGTTATCTCTCTAAGCCCCATGGGGTTGGCTCTGAAAGGGGCGGATCTTATCAAAGGAGCCAGTAATCCCAGCTGAGGAGAATCACTAGTTGGAGGCCAGCCTGGTCTAAATAGTGAGTTCTAGGCCAGCTAGGGAAGAAACCCAGACTTGAAATCTCGATAATGTTGAAAAGCAAACGGGAGGGTGTAGCGGTGCTGAGGAGTCTGAAGGCAAACGGGTTAATGACTGCCCTAGGCCCTGACCTAGGCCAGGTCGTGAGATGGGTGAGGAGAACAAGGTCAGGAACTGGGGACAAAGACCACCGAGGACGAAGGGTTGCAAAAGTGGATTTGGAAAGCTGGAGTGCAGGGCTGGGGTGGGGGTCGTTGCTTCTTGAGGCCCAGATGGTTAGGGATTGGAAGTCCACAAGAGCAAGTGGTTATTCCTAGGACACAATTTTGGGCCTCTGGCTGGAGACTTCGAAGTTGGAATAAGGGGTCAGCAATTACAAGATGGGAAGCTAGAGGGTGGGGCATGGTGGCACACGTCTTTAGTCCCAGCACTCGGGAGGCAGAGGCAGGCGCATCTTTGTGAGTTCAAGGCCAGCCTGCAGGCCAGCTGCGGCTACAGGGAGACCCTGTCTCAAAAAGACCAAAAAAAAAAAAAAAAAAGAAAAAGATGGGACGCTAGGAACCCCAGAAATGTCAATGGGTCAATGTCGTTGGAGGTGGGGTGGGATGTGATGGTTCGTTCCTTCTCGTTCCCCTCGCTTGACTTCACAGGAGACGCCAACCAACGAGCTGAGCGTCCAGGGCCCCCCCGAGGGGGACACGGACCCATCAACGCCCCCGACACCTCCCCACCCCGCCACCCCAGGAGATGGGTTTCCCAGCAGCGACAGCGGCTTTGGTGAGGGGCGGGGCTTGTTGCACCGGGATCTGGGAGAAGCCCGATTCTACGATGGGCGTGGTCTGGGAGGGAAAGGATGGAGCCTGGGAGCCCAGCGAGGGAGGGGCTTAGGAGGGGAGGGCCCTGGGAGAGTTGGGCAGGGCCTGGTAGGGGAAGGGCGGGGCCTAGGAGGGGAGGGAGGAGCCTGGGGAGGGGAGGGCGGAGTCTGGAAGGTGGACTGTGGGACCACAGAAGGCGGCCGTGGGCGGGGCTGCGAGTCTCCTATCTGTGGGTCTCCTATCTGAGGCTGGCAGTACTCTCTCCTAGGCGGCAGTTTCGAGTGGGCGGAGGATTTCCCCCTCCTCCCCCCGCCCGGCCCCCCCCTGTGCTTCTCCCGCTTCTCCGTCTCACCTGCGCTGGAGACCCCGGGGCCTCCCGCCCGGGCCCCCGACGCCCGACCCGCAGGTACGGTGCTTCCAACTGGACTGTGTCTCGCCCCTGCGCGTTGCTGTATGCTCCCTGGTTTTGCCCATCTCCGAATTTCCCTGCCTGTCTCTCCTCCCACCCACTCACACTGACACCCCAAAACCAGACCAGGTGGTGCCCGTCCCTGAGACTCAGTTTCTTTAAGGACCCCCCAACATACACTCTTGCCCATCTTTGACCCGTTTCTGGCGGAGACACCTAGCTAGACACAATCCCCTGTCCTTAAGCGTTCTTGAAGCCCGCAGGGGGATATGGCAGGTTCCCCAGAGACAGGAGTCACAGTAACAGCAGCGAGTGACTGCCACATTGCAACCTGTTCAATCCTCACTGCGATCCGCAGGGTGAATTCTAGTCTAGTCTCCATTTTACAAAATGGTAAAATGAGGCACAGAAAGGCGTGAAGAGCCAGAATTTCACTCCCCACTGCTGACCCTGAATGCTTTCTTCTCCAGCGGTCAGCGTCTGTTGTGCTGGCGCAGCCAGTCAGCATTTTGCTGCCCCCTGCTGGCCACCTTCTGAACACCCAGGATGTTGGGTCCAGGGAACCTGTCAGGAACAACACCCCTGTTTCCCAAATCCTCCCTTGGTTCCAGGATTGGCTCTGCTGTTTCTCAGCTGTGTGTCCTGAGCCAGTCAGTGTCCTTCTCTGCCTCAGCATCCTCATGCATAGAATGAGGATGGTAGTGAGTCCTCCTACTGATTGTTAAGGGTCCTACTTAATCCCACATGTGCAGCTGAGAGCTTGTATGATGGTCTTACTGAGAGCTGTTACTGGCATAATTATGTAGACCAGCATGGAGTGGGTGCCTGGCAGACACTGCTGGGCCAGGGATTCCTTGCCACCCCAGCCTCAGTGTAGGGGAACTGCAAGCTCAGAGTAGCTGAGAAAGTAGGTGAAAGAGTAAAGGGCTTTGTCTTCCTGGTAAAGTGTCATCTGCTGGGGGACTTGAAGGACTGGTGAAGGGGAAGGGGACAGTGTGCCAGAAGGGAACAGCTTGTACAAAGACCGGAGGCAGAAGAGCTTGGCTAGTTCAAGGAACAGAAGGGAGGCTAGGGTGCCTGGGCTCCTGAGAGTGGGTGGGGGATAGAGTGGGGTTGAAGTGAGGGACAGGACAGACCTGGGACAGATTATGGGGAACTTGGGGGGACTTTGTCCTGAGGTTTCTGGGGAGCCATGAAGTATTATAAGCATAGGAGGAGCTGGGGCCTGAAGAGGGAGGAACAGAATCTGGGTGACTGGGGAGAGACTGGGCAAGGGTCCAGTAGGGAAGCCAGCTACAGGGACAGCAGAGGGGCAGGGAAGACAGGGCTGGAGCTGACTCTTCACTTGGCTCCATCCCCAGGCCTCACCCCAAATGTTACTTCCTGACACCCCCAACTTGGGGCCCACATGAGCACAAGAGTGGGGTGGGTCCAGGGCATGGGGACACTAGCCAGAAAATGAGTCAGGGCTAAGGCCCACAAGGTGACCTCACCCTTAGTCACCAGGAGTGGAAATGGAGGGCCCAGTGGTGTGAAGCCCCACATACCATCCTATAGCATCACAGATACTCCCGCCAGGCATGGGTGGGGAAGCTGCTGAGCCTGTCTGTCTCCCCAGACCACTGCGGTTGCCCCCTGTGCAACCCCGTGTGTTCCATCTTCACTACAGACACTGATGAACATATCCCACATACTTGGAAAAGGAGCAAGGGCCACACTTGCCATTCTTGGAGAGAAGCAGGCTTTGGGGCTTTGACTTGGCCAGACCCCCAGCTGCCAGCACAGGGGTATGGAGAAGACAACCCCTCACCCCACTGGCCTTGATATTTTAGATCCAGGGAGTGGATCAGCTTGGAGGATAGTTCCTGGGAACCCTCGTTGGTGGTTGACAGGGGAGAAGGTACTGTCAGAGGCTTGATGCCAGGAAACAGCCTTGAGCACAGAGCTCAGTTCCCATCCTCAGCCTATGCAGAGAGGTACAAACAAAGCCTCTTCCACACTTATTGGGGAATCCCAGAGCGACAAGATATATGAACAAAAATAACAAGATGGAAGCAAGTGACAGCCTGGAGTGTCCAGGGGTGACAAGGTGACCAGAATGGTTATGAAAGGCCTCAGAAGAGGGCTCCTGAACTACCTGGAAGGGTGTTTCAGATAGTGGGAACAGCAGCAGATGCAAAGACCCTGGGATAGGAAGGTACCTGGCACATTGGAAGCCAGTGTGGCTGGAGCAGAGGGCAGAAAAGGAATGGATGAGGACAAAGGACAGGTTGGGCATGGTGCTATTGCTGGGGCTTCCTGCTGAGTCAGATTTCATTAGCCTGTCTCCCCTGACTCCCATTCTTTCTCTACTCTTCCTCAGGCCCTGTGGAGAACTGATTCCCCAAAGACCCAGCCCCTTTGCATCCCAAGAAGAAAGTTTGAGAGCAGAATCTTGTGTGGATGATGGAGCAACTGCCCCGGATGCTGACATCACCTCTGGGGAGGCCCCTGAGGCTGGGCCTTCCACCTCCCCCACCATGTGCCAAATGGGAGGCCCTGGTCCCCCACCCAGCTCCCCAGATGGGTCCCCTGATCCCCCCAACCCCGTTGGAGCCACATGAGACAGGAAGCCCCCACCACTGGACAGTCACCCTTCTTGGAACTAAACTGAACTCTTTTGGGCCTGGAGCCCCTTGGCACAGCAGAGGTCCCTCCTGACCCACTCCTGGCCCCATGAGGGCCACCAGCTTCTGGGACCTGGACCCCCATCTTGCGCCACCCCCTTCTCCCAAGCCCAGCCCCTGGAGGGGCCTCTGATTCAAACCTTCACGTGGCATTTTCACATTATTTAAAAAAGACAAAAACAACTTTTTAGAGGAAAGTGGGGCCTGTGTGTGTTTGGGGTAGTGGGAGGGGGATGCCAGGAGCAGACACCGCATACACCATCTTGTCCTCACAGCCCCCAGGCAAGGTGCCCATACACTGGTGGGGCTGGCCTGCTTTTTCCTTCCCTACTCTGGGTCTGCTCTTTATGGCCCCTTTGGTGGCAGCCTCAAATTACACTTCCATGGGCCATGAGGAGTCAGTGATGGCTGGGGACCCAGCAGCTGTGGTGGCAGCCATGTTCCTGCAGGAGGCCTCTGGTGGAGACTGGAAACTGTCACAGGACCAGGCCAGGTAGGGGGCTCAGAACTTGGCCTACTGACACCCAGGTGGAGCAAGCAACATGTTAGCCACTGCTTGGTCTTCCTGCCCACACTAGCCTGCCTCAGTTTACATTTTTCTTCTTGCCATTGCCCACCTAGACATGCACACAAATGCTGTCTGTGCACACATACCTGTGGCCCTGGGTTCCTTGCACTCGGGTGCTCTTCACCAGCTCCAGTGCTTGTCTGTCCCTCAGGTTAGTCCTTCCTGCAGTGGCCCCTTTGTGTGACTCTTCTGTTCTTTCCTGTTTCCATGTTCTCGCCTGTGTGTCTCCCTTTCTCCTGTCTCTGCCTCTACCTTGGCGTCTCTGTGGCTAAGCTGTCTCTGGACTCTGGTCCCCTGAACCTCACACCCTGGGACTGGATTGTCACATGGAGAGGAGGGGGTCTGGATGATTGAAGAGGACTAGGTCAAGGGGTGGGTTTGAACTGAATGGTATACCCTAGCTTACAAATTAAGAGTGACGAGGACATACAGGACATTGGGAAAATGCTACTGGTAAGGCTCTCTTCATCATGCTTGCCCGGGTTGGGGAGGGAGCCACACTAGGATGGGTCAGGCCCTGACATCCCAGTCCAAAAAAAGGAGGGCCATGATCCAGGCCCTTTGGTCTAAGGAAAGAAGGCCAAGACCCTAACTAACCCATCTGAATGAGGACTCAAGCCAGAACCCTTGGGTCTGAGGGAAGAGGACTGGGCCCCAATGCTCCAGTCAGAAAGACTGGAACCAGGATCCCTGGGTCTAGAGAGAAGGGCCAGGGTCTGGACTCTAAGAGAGGCTGGGTTCTAGACCTTTGGGTTTGAAAGACAAGGCTGGAGTCTAGACTCCTGGGTCTAAAGGAGTTAACCGGGACTAGATCCCAGGTCTGAGGGAAGAGGCTTGGGGTCCAACCCCTGGGTATGAGGGAGAGTTTACACCCTATCTGAGGAAGGAAACTGGGTTCTAGACCCCCTCAATCTTAGGAGGCTGGAGCCAGGAACCCTGGATCTGAACGGGGAAAGCTGGGATCTAGACTCCTGGGTCTGAGGGAGGGCTAGGGTCTGTACCATCTGAGGAAGGAAACTGGGTTCTAGACCCCTAGATCTGAGAGGAAGCTGGGATCTAGACTCCTGAGTCTGAGGAAGGCCAAGTACACAGCTGGGATTGGACCCGAGTCTAAGGGAGGAGGCTGGGGTCTAGACCCCTAGGAGTAAGGAAGGCTGGGGTGTGGACCCCTGGGTCTGTGGAGGGAGGCTGGGGTATAGAGTCCTGGGTCTGTGGGGGAAGTGTGGGGTGTGGACCCCTGGGTCTGTGGAGGGAGGCTGGGGTATAGAGTCCTGGGTCTGTGGGGGAAGTGTGGGGTGTGGACCCCTGGGTCTGTGGAGGGAGGCTGGGGTATAGAGTCCTGGGTCTGTGGGGGAAGTGTGGGGTGTGGACCCCTGGGTCTGTGGGGGAAGACTGGGGTCTAGGCCTCTACGTCTGATGGAGAACTAGGGTCTAGACTCCTGAGACAGAAGGATCTAGATGCTGGGTCTGAGGCAGGCAAGCCACTGTCTGCCGGAGGAGGCTGGCACTGTGGTTATAAGTGAGGTGGCCAGGGTCTGAACTCTGAGGGAACAGTCTGAGGTTTGGACTCTTAAGGGAGGAGACTGGGCTGGGCTCTGTCTGAGGTAGGAGGTTGGAGTCTAGACCAATGGGTCTGGGGAGGTGACTTTAGCCTGTTCTGGGTGGGTAGGCTGGCATCAGATCTCTGGTCTGAGGGACAAGGCTAGACTGGACCCCTGATCTGAGAAGAAAGGTATACTGTTTCACTCGTGTGCATATAACAAACTCATATTAGTATCTGCGACCACAGAAACTGCCTGGAGGCCAGACGACCAAGATTGATGAATCAGGAAAAAAGGAAGGAAAGTCTGTCCCTGTTTGGTTAGTCTAGCCTCAGGTAACTACTGGCATTATTTTGGCCTGTGTGGTTTACCCCAATCTCCACTTTCATCTCTGCATGGCACCCTTTTGTTCAGATACCCACTTTGGGGACTTTTTTATGTGTATGTTGGTGTTGGCATGACATGGTCTCATATAGCTCAATCCAGCCTTGAACTCATGATCCTCCTGCCTCAGCCTCCCTCGTATAGGGATTCAAGTATGAGTCCCCATGCTTGGTCTCCAGTTTTATTCATTTTGCCATTTGGCTTTAATATTCCACAGACATCTGCAGCTTAGTTTGGCCAACATTTTTTTTTTTTTTTTTTTTTTTTTTTGGTCTTTTTGAGACCCCAGCTGGCCTGGAACTATGTAGACCAGGTTGACCTTGAACTCAGAGATTTGCCTGCCTCTGCCTCCCAAGTGTTGGGACTAAAGGCATGTACCACCATGTCCAGCTCAGCTGACATTCTTTTGAACCCTGTCAGAGGCACTGCCAGTCACTGAAGCCCTGAGCCCATCCCAGTGTCCCCTTCACACTGTCTGAAGTAGGTCTATCTGTCCTCTCTGTAACTGCTTTATCCACTGGGCCCGAGGACTGCTCACTCTCAGAATATGACTTCAGTTAGACACACTGTTCCTGCCTCATTCCCTGGATAGCTTCCCATTCTGCCCTGGCCAGGCCTACAAGACCTGCTCTTTGCTCATCTGGCTACACCCGGGCAGTCACCACTGTCCAGATACACTTACTGCTGTCAGTCACTTCCCACACAGGTACCTATGCAACTGCCTCTTCTCTGCCCTGTAGCCATTCCCCACATGGTAGGCCAGGGTTAAGATTACGGAGGCAGACACCATGAATTAAATGGAACTTCTAACACTCAAGTGACTCATTGCCAGGGCTTCCCTACGCTTTTGGCAAACGTTAGAAATTCCGTTTCACCAGACCTTGGGGAGGAAGCATTCTGTGCCTTCCCCAACTTCCAGGTTAAGGCCCCTGGACTTAACAACTTCTAAATTTCTAGGAGACAAACCAGATGGCAGCACAGCCTCCCAGGAACTGCAACTAGCCCCAACCCGCCCCAGGGACCTGTGCTCTTTACCTGGGGCAGCAGTTACCTCGCACCAGTAGGTGCCTGTGCCAGTAGCAAAGGGTGGGTGCCAATTGGGATTTGCTTAGCCTGGAACCTCAACTTCGGACAGGCCCTGAAGAATGCTGACATATGCCGGAGATGGTAGCTCCTCTAGTGAGTATCACATAGCATAACCTGTCAGCACTAGAAAACTAAGGCAGTATTGTTTGAGTCCAGTTTATGTTCACTAAGACTCCATAAATATTCTAGTCAGAGAGCAGAATACCACCAATGCAAGACCCCACACCACACACTCAGGACCTCTGATACAAAACATCCTCCATGGGCAGCCAAATCTGGTGCTAGAGCGGCTGTTACCTCCAAGGCCATCCCACCCACCCCACAGTGTAACTGTGAAGGACTGACCCCTCTGAGGCCCCAAATAGACAGTGTGGTCAGTTCCTAGCACACAAGACAAGGTCTTCTCTGGATTTGCCCTCTCTTGAGCTGGCCCTTTGTTGTTGTAGTCTCCAAGTCCCCAGGCCCACAAAGGCAAGGATGAGACAGACCCACCAGGGCAGAGCACACCTAAAAACATGTTGGATCTGAACACCATCCTGAGACGCTAATCCAATACTAACTCCCATATCAAACCTCTCCCTTCACTCTGCCTCCATGGGGCTTAGGGTGAACACACCAGTTGACCCATAAGGAAGCACCTGCCTCCACCCTGTGTATGGCCCAGGGTCCTGGCCAACATCAAGATGAGATCTCAGCTCTCTCAAACACAGGAAATGAGGGCATCTACAGGCGGAAGGGGTTAGGTTAAATAATAGGATTATCAACGGTATGTTAATTACAAATAAGGAGTCAGGAGCTAGAGGTGGTGATTTTCCAAATGGGGAACCAGGATCCACAGCCCCAGGGCCCAGGGGTCCGGCCACCCAGGCGGGGCAGCTCCAAAATAAATAATGGAGTTGGGGAGAGGGGGTCAGGGCTGTTCCTGCTTCTTCTTCACAGAAATTCGCTTCTTCCTTGCAGCCAGCATTTCATAGAAGGGGTCCACGCTCACAGCAGCCCTGCAGAAGGGGGTCCTGGTAAGGACCAAGTCCAGGCCCAGCTGTCCCAAGTCATACCCAGCCCTTCTCCTTCAAACCCCAGCCCACTGAAGCTCACTGGATGGACTTGATCCACTCATCCTTCTCCTCCTGTGTGGGTGCTGAGATGCGGTACACCATGTGGTTCCCCTCAACCACCCGGCCGTCAGCTTCCGTTTTGCAGGCTTTGATGAGCTGCCCCTTGTTGTTGGGGATGTAAAGCTCGAAACAGTTCTGGGATACAGGAAAGGAGCAGGCAGATCAGAAAAACCGTAGACTAGAAGAGGCAAGTGCAGGTCTAAGGTGGCACCACATGCATCTCACCGGCTTCCGCGGGTCATCCACCTCACGTATGCTCAGGTTCTCCAGGGGAATGATCCCTCGGGGCTCCTTGTCCTAGGGGGCAGGGGCAGAGTTCAGGGGCATGAGTCCCTCAGCGCCTCGCTGAGTCAGGGTCGGGTGCACTCACCCCCAGGATCCTGGCCCCTGCCGGCATACCCAGAGCTCACCGTAGTGTATTCGAAGTAGTAGAGGCAGTTGTCTGTGAGGATGAACCAGCGCCGCTTCCAAGTCTTCACCCGGCCCCCTGCAAGGGAAGGGATGGGAGGGGCCGGGCTCAACAGGGGGCGGGGCCGCTGGGGGGGCGGAGCAGAGCAGGAAAGGCGGGGCTCTCAGGCCTAGGACAGACGCAGCGAGGGAAAAGACAGGCAGGCAGGGACAGGCTGCTGGGGCCCCAGAAGTTGGACCCCTCGCTTGGGCCGCAGGTTCTAGCTGTTGCTATTGGCCCAGGCCCAAGCCCCTCCCCCCGGCCGAGGCCAGGGCAGCCCCTCCCTGTCTGGTGTAGGGGCAAGGACACTGGATACCTACCTCCTGGGGCAGACAGCGAGAAAGCAGGCAGGACCAGGTGTGGAAGGGAAGGCGGAGGGATGGGGTGCCCCCCGAGAGCCGCAGCGACAGAAATAGGGGTGGGGGAGGGAAAAGGTGCACAGGGGGCCAGAGCCACAGCAAAAGAACAGGCAGAGGGGAGGGGGAGAGAGGAAGAAAACCAGTTACATCCACATGGGGAGGAGCCAGAGCCTCCCCAGCCCACCCAGCAGTATGGACTGCCTCTGGCTTCCTGGCTTCAGCCCTCCCTGCTAGGTCCTCAGCCTGGTTAGGGGTGAACACGTTTCCCTGGAACCCCCTACCCTGAGAGGCCACGGGAGGGCTCATTTTAGCTTTCAGTTCCCATAAGAGGGCTGTGAGATCTTAGGAAATCTCTGGTCCCCTTAGGACTCCAGCCTAAGATGTAACCAGACACATCTGTCTGCAACAAGATGGCCTGCTATAGCCTCCAGATGAGCCATTCGGAGTGGAGAAGGCTTCCAGTCCTACATCTCACCACATACAGGAAGGCACCTTTTCTAAACACTCCACAGAGATCCGACTCACTCTAGTCAGATCTGTGGAGCTGGGTGGGCCTCAGATTCAACTGAGAAATGGAAAAAGATGACGACAGGCACAGCTCTGAGTCCCATCCTGGGGAAAGTTGCCTTCCTGCTCCTCTAAGGCTCAGGGAGGCTACCATTTTCTGGGGAACCTGAACTTCCCTGGGCCCTGCTGGCTTCTCTGCATGCAACTGGCCAGGCCCAGGGTGCTGTCTATTAAGGGCCACAGACAGTTATCAGGACACTGTGCCTTTAAGAGCATAGTTCCACAGGGCCAGATCCCAGACTTGGAGGGATGTCAAAGTCACTGTTGACCAGCCCAAGGAGAGTAAGGCCTGACTCCAATTGGAGCCCTCCCTCTACAGGGAGCTCCTGGCTATATCTCTGTTATAGTCCTCATGCCTGTCTCTGAGCAGTGGCCAGGCAGCATTTCTACTAACCCTCCAGCTCAGCCCAAAAAACCCCACCTACCTGCCCTGTAAAAACCTAGGGAGCTATAATGGTAACTCATGGCTGCCCTCCCCCAAAATCCCAACTGCACGAGCCCAGGGCTCTCTGGGCTCTCACAATGCCCAGCCAGTATTGAGAATAACTCAGCTGATCACAACAGACACCCTCTTTGGCCCTACAGGACTGACCAGGCCAGTTCAATGCATGGTCCCACATCACACATTTCAATAAGGGCTGCTTCCATATCCTCCCAGCTGGGAACCTGACATTCATCTAAGCCACAACTGCTGCCAGGATGCTCCCTCCCCAGGCAGGCTTGAAGCACACAGCTGTCTCTGTCTGTTGGCTCTCTCTTGGCCTGACTGATGCTGTGGGGAGAGGAAGACATGAGGGTAGCCCTATACAGCTGACAATGAGACCAAGTTGGTGGGGGTGGGGGAGGGTCTGCCTACAACATCTAATCCTGTCCTGGGCCCTGGGAACTCTTGCTGAGAAAGGTTAACAGTCTTGTTGATTCCCTCAAGCTGGTCTTCTGGAAGGCAACTCAAGGGAATGCTCCCAGCCAGCCAAACCGTGCTATATCTTGCTTGCTGTTAATCAGGGCCTGGCACAGAGGGTTGCAGGTATATGAAGGTCTGGGCACCAGGAACACTTTCTATAGGTCAAGTACATAAACAAAGCCTATTTATTTTCAGTACCCTTTTTAGATGTGGAAACTTGAGGTTCAGAGAGGTGCAAACTCTTCTGAGTCCTGACCTAGGCCACTAATGTTCCCTGCCGAGGTAGCCAGTAGGCTCAGGAGAGGACGTACCCAGCTTTAGGAGCCAGCCCTCCCGGTCTGGGTTGAAGAAGGTGTGGGTTAAATCATTCCCATCATCCTCAGGGATCTTGAAGGGCTCGTTCCGGATGCTGTCGTAGAGATTCTGAGGGGTAAAGACCAGGTTAGCAACTCCAGGTTTTTTGGACCGACCCTCCCTGGGTTTCTCAAGGGACAGGAAGGCCAACCAGGGGCTACTCATCATAGGAGAGAGAGGCAAAAGCTGGAAGGAAGGGGAAGCAGAGGCAGAAATAGAGATGCAAGGATGGTGGGAAAGCTTGTAAGTTCTCAGAGAGGATAAAGAGAACAAGGCCAAGGACCAAGAGTCAGACCAGAGAGCTGGAAAGAGAAAGGACACACATGCGGGGGTCACTGCCACACTGTTTTAGGTGGTCAGAGCAGCTCAGGCACTGGGAAACCCTGGAGCACAAGGGTTAGTGAGACAGGAAGAGGGGTGGGTCTGGGAGCAGCTGCCGACCCTGAGTAGATCCTCAGGCAGGTCCCCGCCCTCATTAATTCCCCGGTTCATGGCCACAAAGCGCTCCAGGCCCGGCTTGTCCCTGACGTTGGGATTGTGAAGGCTAGTGTTCAGCATGATCACGGCGAAGGACAGCACGTAGCAGGTGTCTGTATCAGAGAGAATGGGGCAGGTGATGATGACTCAAAGGGGGCCCAGCCCACCTCCCTAGACCCCTTGTCGCCCTTCTCTCAGACTGAAAGTCCAAGCCCCTGCCCCTACCTGTGGACTGGAAGACCCCAGGGTTACACAAGCAGTATCGCTGGGCAAAGGCCTCCATCATCCGGTCGATTTTCTGGGCCTCTCCAGGGAGACGAAAGCTCCACAGGAACTGCCTGGTTTGGGATGGGGGGGCAGGTATGGGTGCCAGGGCTGGAGAATCTTTTTTTTAAATCTTTTTGAGAGTGTTTCCCTGTAGCCCCCAGCTGTCCTGGAACTCATTATGTAGACCAGGCTGGCCCTGAACTCACAGAGATCCACCTGCCTCTGCCTCCCAAGTGCTGGAATTAAAGGCGTGTGCCACCACACCCAGCTTCAGAGAACCTCCTTCTTTCTCTGTTAGAAACTATCAAGTCAGATTCTAAACCTGGCACCAGCAGTTTGGTGCAGGTGCAGACATGTGACCTGATCTAACTGGTGAACTCTGGCCAGATAAGAGTCCATACAGAAACAATTTTGGTTTTGTTTTGGGGTTTTTTAAAATATATTTTTAAGCGTGGTGGTGCACGCCTTTAGTTCCAGCACTCAGGAGGCAGAATCAGGTGGATCGTTGTGAGTTCAAGGCCAGCCTGGTCTACATAGTGAGTTCAGGTCAGCTGGGACTACAGGGAGACCCTGTCTCAAAAAGACAAAAAAAAAATTTATTTTATATGAGTGTACTGCTTGCATGTATGTAAACACACCTGTGTCATGCAATGCCCACAGAGGTCAGAAGAGGGTGTTGGGAGTCCCATGGAACTGGAGTTATGGACAGTTGTTAGCCACCATGTGGGTACTGGTGCAAGAGCAGCCAGTGCTCTTAACCACTGAGCCATCTCTCCAGCCCATTTTTGTTTTTTTGAGACAGGATTTCTGTGTAGTACCAGCTGGCCTGGACCTTGCTATGTAAATCAGGCTGGCCTTGATCTCAGATGAGCTTGCCTCTGCTTCCTGAGTGCTGGGATTAAAGGTGTGTGCTACCATGCCCAGCTTAAACTTGCTTTATTTTACTAAGTTTGCTGAACAGGACTTGTGTTTGCCAGGAGCTTTGCAGCCATGAAGGAAGATCCAGAGAGAGCATTAGGACACAAAGCAAGTACACTGAGAGACAAGAAAAGCTGACTTGATCACTCCATTTGGGCACTGGGACCAGTCAAGCCAGAAGGAGGCCCCTCCCTGGACTTATCTCACCAAGGCAGTCAGCTCCTGAGTGTTGCTTATTTCTGTTTGAGTGGTTTGTCGCTCACAACTCAGAAAGTCCTGACAAGTGCATTTTAGTCCCATCCTTACCTGAGGGCCTGCACCAAATTGAGATCAGTGAACTCATGCAGATCCACAAAAGCATGGAGCACAGACAGGTTCAGGTCTTCCCTAGAGGGAGAGAGATAGTCATTCTGGGAGGAGTGACAGGCAGCAAAGCAGCTGAGTCCCATCTTGTGTACTATGCTGCCCCTGTAACAGGTAAACCAGCTACCTGGCCCCAGCATAGGCTAGGTCCTGGAGCAGGATGCTCTGTGGCTTGTCAGATCTTTGGCCACATAGACCACCTCTCTCAAGTGTTCCCATGCTTCCCAGATGTTCAGATATGACTGACATCTCCAGATTTCACAAGTGGTTCTTTTTTAAAAAAATATTTTATTATTTTATGTGTATTGCTTGCATCTGTGTAAGAGTACCCATGTGGTGGCAATGCCCACGAAATCAGAAGAAGGCTTAACTGGAGTTACAGATAGTTGTTGGCTGCCTTGTGGGTGCTGGGAATTGAACCTGGGTACTCTGCAAGAGCAACCAGTGCTCCTAACCCCTGAGCCATCTCTCCAGCCCAGGTGGTTCTTTTTTTTTTTTTAATTTTTTAAATGTGTATGTGTGTATTGCCTGCATGTAGGTAAGTGCACCCGTTTCGTGCAATGCCCGCGGAGGACAGAAGAGGCTGTCGGATCCCCTGGAACTGGAGTTACGGACAGTTGTTAGCTGCCATGTGGGTGCTGGGATTTGAACCCGGGTATTCTACAAGAACAACCAGTGTTCTTAACCGCTGAGCCATCTCTCCAGCCCCTTCACAGGTGGTTCTTATGTACCCACATGTCCATAAAGGTTCTCTAAACACCTGCAGCTTTGGCCCCTAGTCCTAGACTCTCAGACAAGCACACACGTCCCAGATGCCAGCTGTGCATATGTGGTCAAGGTGCTGACACTCAGACTTCAACAGTCCCCAGACACAAGTGTATAGCACCCTGACTTATTAGCTGTCCAAGTGTACCAACTCCCCAGTCTCAGACTCCACCAGAGCAAGTTAGTTCATTTTATCATGGCCTAGGCAGGATCTCAGTGCAAATCTAACACTCACCTCTCCCCCAGATAGTCCCCAATAGCTGTCTTGTTCAGCCCCTCGCCCTTATACAGGAATCGGGCAATTTCCTCAGGTGTATTCTGCAGAAGTTCATGCTCCACCAAGAACTGGATTCCCTGGAGGGAAAGGGGAGGATCTGTGCCCAAGCAAGAGGTTGCTGCTTCCCATGAACTTCAGCATCCAAGCTACCCCACCTTAACAGAGCATGGTCAGCTTCATGCTCAGCTTCTCACAGCTCCCTCTGTACCTTCCCCACTGCCTCCCACCCCATGGCTAGCCTCTTCCCTCTGTTCCTGCCTAATTGATTCTAGCACCTACAACAGGGGCTGGCAAGGAACAGTTTTGGGAATAACTGAAAATACCACACACTGTAAGAATAACCAAACATATTAAACACTACAAGAAACTGAATACACAGTTGTCCATCAAGATGTGAACATAGAACTCTTTCCTCACTCTCTTTGTGGCATAAAGACCCTTCCATTACTGCCATATCTTGCCCTGAACCATAGCACCTATAATCTAGGGGTTCCCTGATGATAAGGCTGTTTCTCTGGGCTTCCAGTACTGTCCAGCACAGGACTGAGGCCTCCAGAGACCTTAGTACAAGGGCATTCACGTAACAGCTGGGCAGGGATCAAAAGTCTGTCACCCAGAAGAAACTTATTCCCCTCACACTTCTGAAAACTGGAGTGTTAAAACCTTGTCTAAATATCTGCCTGCTGACCTTCTTGGGATCCATGTTGAATTTCTTCCTGCCCATTGCCATCTTCCGGTTCCGCTGCAAGGTCTTACTGTAAGGGCAGAAAGCAGGGTGGGCAGCAGTCAAAGGTCAATGCTTGGACATCCAGGGTCCTGGACAAGCCCCATGGCTCCTAAGAGTCCCACAAGCCCTTACCTGCCCTCATTGGCTTCCAGACCCTCCACCTCGCTCATAGCTTCACTCAGCTCCTCCCGCAGGCGCTGGATCTCCACCAGCAGCTCCTGCTTGCGCCGTCGGATGTTCTCCAGCTCCATGCGCTCCTCTGGAGTCAAGTCCGGTGGTTCTAGGAGCCGGAGTCAAGGTTTGAAGATCAGTTCTGGGAGCCTGGATTTCTGCATTGGGGGGGGGGGGGGTGTAGAATAGGGCAGGGGAGATGGGCTGGGGGCCTGGATTCCTGCCTAGAAGAGGAATGGCACCCAGAAGTCCTATGGGAGATGGGATAAAGTCCTGAACACTGAGCCTGTAGCAGAAAGGTTTGGGAATCGGATCTCATAGATCTGGGGATGAACTTCTGGGCCCATTACTTGGAAGGAGGATAGGGCCCTGGCTCCATCATCACAGTTGGGAACCTGGGGCCCTGGATCTTGGATTCATTACTTGGACACCCTGGCTTCTGGGTTCCATCTCAGTAGAACTGGGGAAATGGATCTTGGATGCCTTGACTCTTGGATTCCATCACAGCAAAACTGGGGGCATTGATCTTGGGTGCACTGCTTGGAAGACCACTAGGGCCCTGGGTTCATGGCTCCACCCCGGCAGGGAATCTGGGGGACTGGGCCTTGGGTGCATTTCTTGGATGGGGACTGGGTCCTTGGCTCCATCATGATGGGGAATCTGGGGGACCTGGATATTGGGCACATTTTTTTGAAAAGGGACCAAGGTTCTGGCTCCATGATGGTGGGGGGATCTGGGGACCGGAATCTTGGATGCATTTCTTGGTAAGGGACCAGGGTCCTGGCACTATCATGGTGGGAGGACGATGAGTCCTGGATCTGGGTACATTTCTTGGGAGGGGACCAAGGCTCTAGCTCCTGGATGCACCACAGTTGGGCCTGGATCTTGGGTGCATTTCTTGGAAGGGGCCCGGGTCTCTGGCTTCCTCATGGTGGGGGAACCTGACGTCTTGGATCTTGGGAGCGTTTCTTGGAGACAGTGCCCTGGCTCCATCATGGTAGGGGATCTGATGGCATGAATCTTGGGTGCATTTTTTGAAAGGGGACCGGGGCCTGGGTCTTGGGTGCACAGTGAAGACGAGATAGATAGGCAGGACCCCGGAGCAAGGGTTGGTGCGGCCGCGATGAGGTCGCAGTAAACTGGCCGGGACGGCGTTCGCGCAGGAGGACGCCCCGCCCCCGCCCCTGCCCCTCCCGTCGCCGCCGGAAGCGGGCTCGGCCCAAACAATGGCTCGGGACCTTCGGCTGTCGGCAGCGCCGGAAGCCCATCTCGCGCGCACAAAGGAGCAGTGCGGCCGCCCGGACAGTACGCGGCGGAGCGCCGGAGCCACTCCGCTCGCCTGCCCCGCCCAGCCTACCGTAGACGCCGTCCTCCATGGCGGCTAGGAAGGCCCGCGGGGAGTCCGGGGCTGTCCCGCCGGCCGGGCCTGCGTCCGCGTCGGCCCGCGGGCTCGAGTGAGCCCGCTCAAACGCCCCAGGAGCCACCGCCGCCTCCTCAGCGCCAGTCCACAGCGCCGAAAAGACTCTCCCTTCACTGCCCAACCGACCGGCCGGTAGGGCCCGCCCCTCGTCTTGTCACCATCCAATCTTCAGCGGGCCTTCCGAATTGCTCCGCCCCCGATGCCACAGCATCATCTCCAGGACCAATAAGCACACAAGAAGCGGCAGCAGGACCGGCCAGCTAGAGATAGACAGCGAACCTGGCCAATCGGAATGCGGGTAGGGTGACCTGTCCCGCCTTCGAAACAAAGGAAAGCTCTTGACAGCATTATCCTCCAATGAAAAGACTCAGAAAGGAGGGACCAGGAGGTGGGACTATGCAGAGCAAAGAGGACTGCGCCTGCGCAAGGACTCTGGGCCCCGGACTGGGTCATCCGAGCTCTAGGAATTCGTCGTTAGGGGGCGGTGCTCTGTAATCTTGTTGCCAGGGGCGGGGTCTCAACCTGGAGTTGTTTTCGCGAGCCATGCCTCCTGGCCCGCCTTGCTAGCTTCTGCCCAAGGCGATTGCCAAGCAACCCCGAGCCACACAGGCCTGTCTTTTGCCTCCTTTGTCCTGTGCTCCTCTCTTGGCCCCCGGGGTATCTTCGAACCCTTTCCCTACCATCTCCTGTGACCTCTTCACCTACCTCAGTCTCCTCCGAGTAAAGAGGTGGAAAAGATATTCTCTCTTCTAAATCTTACGGGATTTGGTGCCTGTCCTGGAGAATGGGATTCGGGGGAGACCAATTACAGCGAAGCACAGGGGCCACCCTCCTGACGGCCTCTGCCTCTCAAGACTTTTCCCTTTCTCCAAAACTCCCCAGCTTATTTGGTCTCCTCCTGATACTCCTCCAACTTCTGCCTTCCTCATGCATTCTCCCGACATCCCCTTCCCTTAGCATTCCTTCGCTCTGGGTTGACTTGCTTTCTCTTGGCAGCTCTCCAGCTCCCCGGCCTGAAGACCCTTCTCCGACCCAACGCCATCTGTCCTCACACTCTTGCCCTTCTTAAGCTCCTCCCTCCTCCCAGAATCCTCCTCTTCCTTGCTGGGAAAGCAGTGAGGGGACTTCGCTGGGGACTCTGGCATCCTTATAAAATTGCAGGCCCACGATGGCTATGAAGTGGCTTCCGGGCCTCCTCCTCATTTGCCATCTCTGGGCTGCCCAGGTGGAGACAGATTCGGGGCTAGGACTTTGTTAAGCCTTTGGATTAGTCACGGAGCCTCCTAACCCCTCTCTGACCTTTATGAGTTGAGTGGCCTGGGCTATGCCTTCCCCAGTGGAGACTGTGCCTGCACCTAGTCCCTCCTCACGATCTCCTTCCCAACAGAATCATGCCCTAGTCCCTTCACCCCAACTTAGTATTATTCTCCACTTCAGGTTCCCATTGTCCCCAGTCCCTGCCCCAGATCCAGTGCTGGGAGAGCTGCCAGCCAACTAATTGATCCTGTCCGGTTATTACCTGGGGATTCTGAAGGATAAAACAAGATGGGAGCCAGAAGAGGGCCTGGGCAGATGCGGCAAACAGCAGACCAATGCCAGTGAAAGTGAGGACACCTCCTCCTGGCAGCTCTTCTGAGGCTGGCCTCCAGCCTGCTGGGCACTTAGGTGGCTGTAAGCATGGGCAGAGGCCAAGACCAAGGACTCATGTCCCCAAAAGACAGACATCCTGCCCGAGCTCCCAGACCTTTAATACGGTGACAGGGCTCCCCTAAACCCCCAGTTTTCCGACAATGGACAGATTCCTAGACATCACAGCTTCCTCTTCAATCCCTAGCCCCTGAACTGGAAGATGGAGGTGGTGACACTGGTTCTTGGTCATAGCCCCATGCTTCCTCATGCTGGCCTTTTGATCCAGACTCAGTATGGAACCAGCCATCAAGTCACTGTCCCCTCCCAATCCCCACTCCAAGGCCACATGTTCCAGCATGAGGGTGGAGGCAGGAAATCTCAAGACGTGCACCCTATCCCAGCCTCCATGAGGCGAGGGTTAGCTTGCTAGAAGGGCCCTTAGAGAACTTGAAGCTCTATGAGAAACTGAAGCAATGTGAGAGGGTTTGCCTAAAATCACACAGGCTTCTGGGATTTAGATGAGACTTCCTAGATAACTGCAAAGGGCTCCAATTAGCTTGAATCTGTTTACACCTTGCTATAGGAACCAGCAGCAAGGATAGACATCT